TTTTTTTTTTGTGTTGATATTATTTACTTTTTTTTTTTGAATTCTTTGATAAAGTGACCATAAAATGAGCAGTTTTAAAATACCGCTTGACATAGGATAAAGACTGAGAAATGACTGTTCACCGTACAGCTTTTTAGAATTTGAATTATTTTCATCTTATTTCTTCTATCAATATGTGTTATTGACTTTGAAAATTTTGCTTACTTTTAGGGACATTTGTTTTTCTTCTACAGAAAATAGTCTCAACTTTTATTTTGACCAGTCAGTAGAAATCTGTTAATGGTAATAAAGTTTAAAACAGAATCTTTTGCTGACAAATAATTAAATTAAGCTAAACAGTTCCACTTTTTTCTTGTAACTATTTTTCTTTTTTCGTTTTGAAACAGCAAAAAAAGAGAAGAAACTTAGTCTGATTTTTTTGACGACGAGGGATTAAAGTTCATTTAGGCTCTTTATTTTTGCAACATACATAGTTTCTTCTTTTTTTTTTTACTTTGCTTGTCGGTAATATTCAGATTTCTTCAAACTTTACTCTTTTTACTCAACAATGTCCAGCTGTTTAAGTAGTGGTTGAAAATTTAACCTTAATATTCATTTTTTGGTGCAAGTTTGGTTTTTAAATGTTCCAAACCGATGCAAAAATGTTTTTCCTTTTGTCGATTATACCGATGAAAATACAGCTTAAATTTTTTCATAGACAGTGTGGTTGACTGCAGTGTCAAAGGATGCGTTGCTATGTACCGACGTTGGATAAACCGCTGATGAGATTTTTTGCTTGGTATACACGATATTTGCTGGTCGACTATTATCAACTGTTCATCATTTTACCAGTTGCTCTAACTTGTTTCCTAGGATTTGGTATTTATTGGGCCAAGGAATTAACATTGCTGGATGCCAGAAAGCTGTATACACCAGTTGGAGCACCTTGTTGGGAGGAAGAAAGAGTGATGAAAGAAGTTTGTAGTTGTGAAACTCTAACAGGAACATTGTGTGAAATTGCTGTTTGAAATTCTAGCCGAAGTTTTAACGTTTTTTATAACAGACCATAAACTCAGCAGAATTAATTAATTGTTTTAAAGTTATGGCCAATTCGAATTGACGAATTTTTACCAGAACGAACATTTGAATGGAATAGACATCTGTACGTAATTGTGCACGGACGACAGGACAGTAATGGAACCTACCCAAATATCCTGGAAGACAAATATCTTAATGAAATTGAACTTTTGGAAAAAAGTATTGCCGAAAATGTTACATTTCCAATGCGAAAAGAATGGCGATCAAATTCCACTGCACATATTAACGAAACTGTTCATTTTCAGGTACACTAACCAAAAACGTTTGCTCTTTATTGAAAATTTCATGGTGAAAATTATGAAATTTAGTTTGAAAGACTATTATCATTTTACATTTTTTACTGATTAGCATAAAATAAAATGTTACAGACTACATAGCTGTTGTCAAGCCACTCAACGCTTTTGTATTTTGTTTTTTACTGTATTTAAGAGCTAGACAGTTTTATGTATCATTTCTATTTCTTGACAGCTGTTTGCCTTAGTATTACTGAGTAGTTAGTGAGATAAATTCAGTTTTTTTGCAAAATATTTCATTGAAAATTGAAGTAAATCAAGGAGATATAGAGATTTGAAAAAAAACATGTTACAGGATATCTGTTTAAGTTGGTATGGTGAGTGTTATCGACAAACAAATATTGTAAAACTGTTGAAACATCGTCAAGAATTGGAAAGAAATGGTATTGCCGTAACATTTCCACGTGCTAACACTAAAGGAACACCAATTTATTTGGCTTTTAATGTCGGCGGAGTTAAGGTTTACCCAAATGAAACCATTAAAGTAGGCTTTTTTCAGTAATGTTTTTCATTTCTAGTCATGAAATAGTTTACTCAAATAATAATGAGATTTCCTGGTGTAAAAAAACTTAGTTACTTTTTTTTTTACTTTGTTATTGTTAAAATTATTTTCGTAAATTGAAATTCAACATAAAGTGCAGTAATAATTTACCTGTCAACCATCCACTTTCTTCTCGTCCCTCTCTTCCTCTATCCCCCCCTCCCGTCAAAAATAAAACTTTTTAAAAACTATATCAGACGTCAAATGGTTTTTTCCTTGTAACTTTTAATATTTTGCATTTAATATTGCTATATTTTTCTTAAAAGTTGTGATTGTAACTTGTAGTCTGCACAAATAAATAGCCTAAGACTTAACGTTATTAAATTTTGCATAACAAATTGTATACAGCTTTCACCACATCAGTACAATTTGGTTTTATAGTCAGCAACTGGAATGCGTTTGTATTATTTCATGCGATTTGACACTGAAGAAATTAATCGAATTTCAATGAAATTTGAAGATGAAGCTAGTCAGTTCATAACCAACACTTTTGCTAGTAATCCACTCATTGAAGTCAGTTTTTTTTTTTTTTGTAAGTAAAAAATGTATAATTTTAAAAAATCGACCACAGCACTTGATCTTCAGGTACATGTTCAACATTCGCGTTTTGTGGATATGGGATTGACAAAAAATGCTAATCGACTGAAACCGTATTTTTCAGTGACAGTTGTTGTTTTAATACTGTTTACAACAGTTTATGCTTTGAAATGGAATATTGGTAACAATGGCCAGACTTGTTACGGTAGTTAGTTAAAACATAGTTTTTTGCTTTATTTCTTTTACTTTTTTATTTTTTAGTATACAACCAACTCAGATGTAAAACAATAAGTGCCAAAGTTTTCACACACATTTAACTTGTTCAAGATGTTTAGGAAAGAACAAAAAAAAAAGGTACGAGCGCGTGTAACCTGTAATAAGTACGGATTAATTATGAAGAATATTCACCAAATTTTTAACTTTTATTAACTCCTTGAAATCAATGCAGTATTTTATAGCAGCAATTTAGAACCTTGAGCAGAGCATACAAAAATTGAGCTTAATACTACAGCTAAATTATAAAATCTTATACGGAACCACTTTAATCTTTCATTATTGTTTTTGATAATCGTTTCCAAGAAACTACTATGAATTGGCCAGAAAATATCATTAGTGGTTAATAATTTTTACTGTGAAACAATTTTAAATTAAAAATCTGAATGAAACGTCGGATAGTAGCCAGAAAAGCTAAAACTTTTTTGTAATAGCTATTAACTGGCAAGTAGGGTTGCCAATCATTTCATATCATTCTAGCAAAACAGCTATTTTTTTGCTTTTTTTTTTTTTTGTGAACAAAAAGACAAAGATTGAACTGAAAAACTTATTCTTTCAAATTAGTACGATAAACTTTACAAGTGTAAAACTTTTATGCACAAGTGACAAAGATTAAAAAGTTGCACCACTACTGATAAATTTCCAATCTTCTAGCCTAACTAAGAGTGCAACTATTTTTTGCATTTTTTGGTACTCTTGTAAATAAAATATATTTTTGGGTTTTAAAAATAAATGTTTCTTGGTAATAAGAAATTTTTTGTTCAATTTCAATTACAGTTTTCTTAAGAAGAGTTTCTTCGTAGTAATCTTCTATTATTATAGTGCAGATAGACTGGCTTCGCTCTAAACCGCTGTTGGCTTTGGCTGGAGTTATGTCATCTGGAATGGCAATTTTATCCGGAATAGGTTTACTGCTGTGGTTTGGGATGTTTTTTGCTGAAATAACGCTGATAGCTCCATTTCTTGTACTCTGTAGGTTTTAAAAACAGTTTAAAAACAGTTTTTGTTTTTGACTTTATATTTTGACGGTTAGTTGACTTCAGCAATCGGTGTTGACGATATGTTTATCGCTGTTGCAGCTTGGCACAACACTGAACTTAAATATCCCGGTTAGTCATCATTTTTCTCTTTAGTTCTCAATTTTTTGTTGTAGGTTTTTCACAAGTATTTTCAATAACCTAAGCTATTTTGTGATTAGGTTGATAAACTACAATAAATTTCTTATTTTTTTTTGTCAACAATTTATTAGAATGACTCAAGGAGTTTTTCAATTTTTGTCGTTATCCTTTCAAAGATCAATCAACTTTGAACTGAGCCAAGAATTTAATGGAAGCATTTTTGTACGTATCGGTTGAGAACTTGATTTACCTGAAGCAAACAAAGGATCTTCTAAAGCGAACGTCATTGGTAGATTTAAGTAGACTTGATAAACTTCATAGTAGACTTCTGTATCTGTATAGCGATAATGTATTAGAAATACTGTATGCTGCGATCCTCTAGAAACACTAAGTTGCCCTTCATCATCTATTATAATAGTTAATTTGCCTTTTAAATTGTACTTTTTAGGGTTAATCAATGTTTTTCTTTTGCAATGCTTGTTTTATTAAGGCTAGAGAATAGAATGTATATTACGACATAAATGTTTTACCACTTGATAAATTTCTACTGAAGAAAAATTAACTTTTTCTTTTTTGTAAATATGTCTTATATGTAACTCTTTTTTATTTACCTATTTTTTGTTGCAAGTATCAATTGAACCTAAAAACAAAGCGCTTTACATTGAAATAAAAATAAAAACTTTAACAGGAATTGGTGCATTTGAATTACTCTATTTTAGCAATCATGTAAAGCACCTGCTTTTTTACTTTTGTTATTATTCTATATGATAAATGTGAGATTAACTGCTTATTACCTATGTCTAAATTTTGAATTATCTTTATTTGCTCTTTTATGTCTAGTCAGATTCTTTAGCTAACCACAGATGCTGGTTTCAGAGGTGAAGTGATTCACCGAGAAGTTGCTGGTCTTATTATTAATTATTCTTTATTCACAGATTTGGTAGATCACATTTTGACCAAACTTTTTATCGTTTAAAATGTATTTGTTCTTCTGCAAGGCAGAATCGAATGATGGGTTAGAGCGAGAAGAATAAACGAAGCACTTAGAAAGCACCGTTTTTTTGTTTTAAGATACTTTAGATACAGGTTCAGTTGCTCAGATTAAGCTGTAAAATACACTGTCATTAAAATAAAATTGAGTTTCTTATAAGTTAAACCAAAAACGGTTTCTAAAACAGTTCTGACAATAACCTTATTACAACAGTTTCAGCGTACTACGTGTTAAGAAACATTTTGATTTTAACAATTATTCTGATTTTTTTGTAACACCAACTCAAAGTTTGCTGTCTTATTGTAAATCTTGTCTACTTTTTATATGCGGTGAATTATGTGCTCTTACTGCTGAAATTAGAAGGTGCAAAGTTTTAGTAAATTCAAATTCACCTAACTTTTTTTACAAACGATAAACGGCGAATCTAATTGTGGCCATAACGTATTTGAAAACTTCAGAACTTGTTGTGCTGCAAAAGGGTATATATTGAGTAGTACTCTTATTCTTCATATAACCACTTACATTTCTACAACCAGATGTTGAAACTCACTCTTTATATAAGTTTAAGCATACTTTATATATCTGGATTTTTGCTGAAAGTTCGTAATATAATATGGAGCAATTCTTGGAATATAAGCTGAATATCCCAAAAAGAAACCCATTGTTTTTTGTGTTTAAGGGAAAACACATGAGGTTTTGAAGGAACGTATGGTTGAAGCAATGTCGGAATCTGCAGTGGCAATTTTTATTACTAGTATAACTGACGTATTCTCTTTCGCTATCGGTTGTTGGACAGATATTATTGCTGTTAAAGGATTTTGTGCAATGACTTCAGCGTGCATGTTTTTTACGTTCTTATATCAGGTATTTCATCCTTTTTTTGACTTTAAGATACTCTTTCACCATTTTTTCACAATATGCATTTAATATAACTGCAGATTGAAAACTTCTGCAAACAATTGATTCAGATAACTTTCTTTGCCGCAGTGATGATTATCAGTGGGAAATTGGAATTGGAAGGGAGAAACGCTTGTATTCCATGCGTTCAGACTTTGGATCCATATAATATAGATCAGAGCGACTGTTTCAAGAAAAAAAATAACGGTATTTGCTTGTTTGCGTTTTTAGAATCAAAAGTTTCAAAATAAAAATTTTTGATTTTATTCTTTTTTCAATTTAATGTCTCGATAGCTTAAAAAACTATGCTATTTATGACTAAAAACTAAATTTTAGATGTCACTCCTTATATGGAAAAACCAAAGGCTGT